AAAGAGAGATCTCCTGCTTACTTGCAACCCAGGTCCTTTGTTATGCCTGTAGGCAACAACCTTGTTTATTACAGGGACCTTGTGTGGAACACATTACTTTCAAATGCCCTGGGTAGAACACGTACATTACTCACTAACTTTAATTCTTAAACTAGGAATATATATGTCAGTCCCCTACACCCCTCTTCTAGATTACTAGTGCCTCTCCTTTTCTTATTATGGTATTTTTAAAATTGTCACCATTCCTATCCACTACTGCAGTTTCCATTTCCACTAAACAATAAAAGGCGTTGTAAATGATAGTAAACTAAAGGTGGAAAGCAACAAGGAGCTGGGATGGTTTTTTTTTTTTTTTGGCTCAGGCAATGTGTCCTAAGGTCCAGGTAAACAGTCTCCCATGTGAGGCCAGAATTTTCACCAGCAAGTGGTGTCATGGATTCATAGGAATGTGGACACCAGCATATATTCTAGCATAAAAGAGCATCGGCACTGCAAACTCACTGTGTTTTTGTTCGTGTCTGCATCTAGGCCACAGTTCTAGGCCTTGTTTGGGGTCTTGAACTCCATGGAGAATATCCTGATGTTCATATTTTCGTCCTAGACTGTTCTATCCATCTCTCCAACTCGGCAACCACCGATGTCTGCATGCTGCAGCAAAGAGCCCCTTTTCCGAAGCAACCCCAGTGTCTTTAGCTGTCCCTAGAAAGCCCTACTTCTTTTACGATCTAGGTTTGATTTTCCACCAAACTTACTTTTTTGTTTTGGTCATACCAAAAAGAATGAGTGGAAAGTAAATTCCTAAATAGCTGCTTTACCTCAAGTATGCAGCCGTGGCCTATAAGCACTTGACATTGAATTGATGTCCATGTTTGAATATGGATGTGAACATATAGATATAAAGAAGGAAAGAATAATGAGCACATTCAAGAATTGTCCCTAGTTAACCACCATCAAACAGAGGTAGTACCTGTTCACCTCTGAACGAAGCTTCACTATCAGAAGGACCCATTTTCTTACCTCTCTGGCAATGTTTTCTTTCTCCAAATTACTCTCAGTGGACTACTGGAACATGCTAGGCTCGAATCACTTTTAGGTATATAAGGACCGTCATCCCAGACCCCTCTCTTTATCTCAACTTCCACCATGTAATCACTAATTCATTTTGCTTTACCTCCTCAATGTATTTTTCAAACCTGTGTTTTACCCTCCATCTGTATCCTTATAACACAGTTTATCATTCCCCATCTGGACTGTTGCAATCAGGACCACTGCTGATATTTTCAGGGCCCACACAGGAGTATGAATGTCCCACCCTCTCTCAAATAGCCCTCCCTCTTCCGCGACTGTGAGGGGTCTCTGGTACACGTAAGTGGACAACTTGGCCTACATAGCCAAGTCATGCCCACCACGTCCCCCATGACCCTTAACCAACTTCATTTTCCTTTGGTTAGAGGTGAGTATATAGGCAGTATAGACCACCCTCAATACCATGGACCTGGGGAACGGACTTCTGAGGTAGTGGAAGGGGTATCGGCACAGGGAATTTGGGGTGCTAGTTCCTGGAGCATATTCTAGAATGAGGGTAGGGGTGGTAAGATGGGCTGTCATTGACTATGTCCTCTCAGCCCTACAGATATCCACCTACTGGGGAGAGAGACACCGAAGGCAGGGCCAGAGCACAGCCTTTTCAAGTGTGGGGTCTGTGGAAGGAGTCTTAGTTACCTGTGTTCAAGGGTGATACTGAGGCAGTGGCCTCATTCTTTCACTCTGTTAAGGTTTCATTCATATTTTACCCAGAATGATCTATCGAAACACAGATATGACTTTTCTCTTTTCTCCTTAGAACTTATTAGTATCTCCTATCAGTTACTAAGTCAAAACTCTTTAGTATATTCTACAAGACAGCCATGGTCCACCTACTTCTCCACACTCACGTTTTATGTTTTATCCATGCAAACTGCTTATTGTTTTCCACGTACCTCATGCTTCTGCATGCCCCTGCATCATTCTGTGTTGTTGCTGCGTGTGCCTAGAGTGTATTTCAGCCTCTCTTTTACTTGTCTATATTTTCCTGATTAAGATCAGTTCTCGGCCGGGCGCTGGGGCTGATGCCTGTAATCCTAGCACTTTGGGAGTCCGAGGAGGGCAGATGGCTGAAGCTCACGAGTTTGAAAACAGCCTGAGCAAGAGCGAGACCCAGTCTCTGCTATCACGAGAAAGAAATTAATTGGCCAACTAAAAATATATAGAAAAACTTAGACGGGCATGATGGCACATGCCTGTCGTCCCAGCTACTTGGGAGGCTGAGGAAGAAGGATCACTTGAGCCCAGGAGTTTGAGGTTCCTATGAGCTAAGCTGAAGCCACCACACTCTAGCCCAGGCAACAGAGTGAGACTCTGTCACCAAAAAAAAAAAAAAAAAAGAATCAGTTCTAGTCTCTTAGGAAATTTCCCAGGCTGGTTACTTCTATGATAACTTTTACATTTTATATTGAAATTGTCTCCTTGAATGTCTTTTCCTACTGGACTTTAAGATAGGAACTCTATGTTGTTCAGTTTTGACTTACATTTATAAAACAATGCCTGGTGTTTATTAGGTTCTCAGAGAATATTTGCACAAAATTGATGGTATGTGTACAGTCCCTGCAGACTCTAACTTGGTATAAATCAGAATAACTCTTTATTTTGATTGAAGGTCTCAGAGTAATTTATAAATATGCTAATATTCTCTTTGTACTTAGGTACATTTGGTGTAATATAATTTGGCATACTCATGTCATTACAGTTCATTCCTTCGTTAAAAAAAAAAACAACAACTTCATGACTCTAGAGAATTTGGAAGCCTTGAATTTTTTCTCAGGGCAACTACCAGGGAGAGGCCTATTTTTATGGTATAACTAGAGCAACTCTGCCTGTGTTTATTTTACACAATCAGCTGCTCAGTAAGATGTATTTTGAATAAAAGTCTCTTTGAGTCGATATGTGCTAAAAAATGTTACTCTAGAAATCTAACTCTAATTTTTAACATTTAAGATCTTTGCTCTGTCCAAAATGTTCTGTATGGGTTTTTCAGGCATGCCAGTTCAATTCCCAACTCCTTTCATTTGCCTCATTTTCCCCGGGAATGAAGAGCAATACTCTCTTCCCTGTTTTTTCTGTCAAAAGAATGGTGCACCTTAGATTTACACTCAAGTTTAAAACTGTTTCCTCTCTAAAGTCTCTCTGGCAGGTCTACTTTCACCTCTAAACTCCTGCAGTATTTTCTTTTTCTAGCACGATTTTGGTATGTAACATGTTCTAATTTTTGTTTTACATACATGTGCTAAATCTTCTTTCTATGAATTGGTCTCCAGTTTTGCATTCATATTCTACAACATTTGCATTCAAAGCTTCAAATATATTGCCAGTTACTTCATAAGCACGTATAAGCATCTCTTGTTGATAAATGCTGAATTTAGAAATATAGTAGATTTTGAGTTTTTAAGATAAAGTCATTAACATGTTATAGTCTTATTTCTGAAACACTTTACCAGTTGTATTTATATGAAATATGTTGGAATTTTTTTTAAAGAGATTACTTGTGACGCACCACCACAAATCCCGTATGCAAGATTAAGTGCAGGAGAAGAGGCATTTTATGTATATAATAACACTGTAACGTACTCGTGTGATGAAGGCTTTTCCTTGGTTGGAGAAGACTCTATTCAGTGCACTTTAGTAAACGGTCAGGGAGATTGGAGTGGCCCAGGACCTACATGCGAAGGTAATAATGTTTTGTATAGTGATATTTTTGCTTTATTCTTACATTTAGATCTATATAGGGACTGTAGAGATTCTGTGAACTCCCTAAGAAATGAATGTAAAATGTTTTACATGTGAATGTTTGCATTTTTCTATGGGACACAGTTTTTCATCACATTCTCAGAGGGGTCTATGGCATTATACACATACATATATGACTATATATATAAAATATCTCATTTTTATTAAATTAGCTTAAGTTTGCTGTTTCATGCCATGTTACTTTCAGTACGTTAATATAGATAGCTCTTTGTTTATAAAAAGAATGTATGAAGTGATTTATTAAATTGGAGGAGGAATCTGACATTGAACTCAGGGCTCTAGGGTAGTGGTGTACATGTTGTGACAACTGAGAAACTCTTGCCTAGCTGTCGATGTCATTGCATTACATTCAATTATTTTTCTGCCTTCAGAATTTCTCTGTATTATTAACCATTCTCTCTTCTTTATCCTTCTAGACTTTTTTCCTCAACATCTCTTTGTACCCAGTCTGTACTGTCAGAATCCTTAGAACTGCTTTTTAGATATATTTCACAATTGCAAAGATGCAAAAATAACCCAAGTGTCCATCGTTACATGAGTGGATTAATAAAATGTGGTGTATGGATACCATAGAATACTAATCAGCTACAAAAAACAATGGTGAATTAGCAACTCTTATATTATCCTGGATAGAGATCGAGCCCTTTCTTCAAAGAGAGGTATCACAAGAATTGAAAAACGTGCACCACATGTACAGTTTTTCATCACATTCTCAGAGGGGTCTATGGCATATATACACACATACATATATATGACTATATATATAAAATATCTCATTTTTATCAAATTAGCTTAAATTTTCTGTTTCATGCCATGTTACTTTTAGTACATTAATATAGATAGCTATTTGCCATCAAATTGGTACTAACTGATCAACACTAAGGTGTTCACATGGTAGCAATACTTATTGAGTGCCAGGCAGTGGGGAAGTTGGGGGTGGTAACCTAAACTAATGGAAGCAGAGAGCACTGTATGGGGGAAAGACATGCTTGTAGCCCTGGCTGGGTGAAGCAGATGCATTACATGTAACCAAAACATTTGTACTCCCATAATATCTTGAATTAAAAAAAATATATATATATTTTTTTTTCCAAGAGATATTTAAAAGATCAGTGAAGCTGGATTAAACTTTGCATAGTACCACTAGGTGTGTGTGTTTGTGTAGTGATTGCAACATGTCTCAAAGTATGTACTGACTTTATATTAATTAAAATTCTATTAGCATGAATTTAAAAAAATTATTGCTTATTAAAAATAGTTTACTACAAATGTTCTACATAAATGTAGTGATGTAATATTTAAATCATGTAGATCAGTATAAAATGAAAAGTAAAAATCTCTATCTCTAGTCCTATTCTCAACAATAACTATTTTTTATAAGTTATGTTTCATCCTAGATTATAAATGTACAGATACTTCTTTATTTATCATAGCCAGTTGTATGGAGTAACATTTTGTCATGTCCTCTATGGGAATTTAGGATTTTGATGTAATTGTTTTTTATACATTTTAGAATGTTGCTACATAAATATTGTACATGTGTCATTGCACATGTGTGCAAGTACATTTGTATAATAAATTCTTCCCAGTGTAATTCCCATAGCAAAGGTCAATGTTTTTACTTTTTTTTTTTGAGACAGAGTCTCTGTGTCCTGGCCTACGGAGCAGTGGTGTCATCATAGCTCACTGCCAACTCAAACTCCTGGGCTCAAGTGATCCTCCTGCCTCAGCCTCCTGAGCAGTGGGGACTTCAGGTGTCCAAG